TTTACTATTCACTGTTTCCGTAATTGTTTTTTTTTTTATTTTGGTGTCAAAACTAGCTAAATTAGTATGGAGAACCAATTAGTAGTTAACTGAATTTCGATTGTGTATAATTCAGTATAATATCTCATAATGCGCTTTTATTTATTTTTTCTATTTCGTTTGGCACATCCTTAGGGTTGGCGCCTGGTAAGACCGCCTCCCCCCTCCCCCCCCCCCCCCCTTAATACTAAATCGTGTTGGAAGAAACCACCTCCACCATAAAATTAAGAACGAAGAAGAAGAAGACTAGTGATAAAGCACCCTATTATTTTTTTCTTTATTTTTCCGCCTCAGACATGTAATTTACATGTAGTTTGCCTTGCATGTTCGCTTTAGTATTACAGTTTTCATCATCGGCTTGTGAGGACTGATACAGATTTACAATGGTAACATTTCTTACTTACTTACTGATAAAGCACCATAATGGAAAGATCCTTTAGGTGATTACCTGTTAAAGTGCAATGTTTACATCTACTGATGTTATTGGTTTTATTTGATTACATTTCTATAGTTTACTTTCCTCAAACTAAACTTAAACCTAATCATAACTGTAAAGTTAACCATAGTGGAATGGTCATTTTAATATTGGTAGAGTTACGGTTAGGATTAGTATATGTGTTATGGCAAGGGTAAGGGTAAGGATTAGTATGTGTTGAAGCTAGCGTTAGGGTTAGCTTTAGTATGTGTTAGGGCTAGGGGCTAAGATTAGTACTTTTGTTACGGTTAGGATTAGTATATATGTTAGGGCTAAGGTTAGGGTTTAAGTTACGAAAGTTCTGGAGTATAAAATTTTACAATATAATTAATTTCATTTTAAGTCGCCCGCATTTTATAGACTAACGGATTTTTAATTTACCGCTAGCAATTATAATAAGTTTTACGGTAGTAATTATCAGGTATTTTTTAACTAATTGCATCGTTATTGTGTTTAACTATTCAAGCTGATTTTATAATTAACCTGCAGCATTTAATTGTTTTCAAAATTATCAAAATCGTAAACGAATATTTAAAAATAAATTGTTTAAAAGGTTCGATTTTAAAAAGGTCTTCATTATTGATAATTTTGAATGAAAAACTTAATGCAATTTCAAACGGTATTGGACTACATGCGAGGGGTCGGCGTGGTAGAGTCGGTAAAGCTCATGGTTGCTAAACCGAAAAGTCTCGAGTTCAAACCCTCGGGCAGATGAGGCTCGTTAGCTGGGGGCAGCCACTCTTCTAGGAAAGACATCTACAAAATCAAACAACTGCTGCAAATCCAAAAAAGAAAAGCAGGCTGAAATCGGAGTCAATGGCCTCAATGGCGCATAACCAGTTGACACGTATCCTTAATTGTGATGGAGGCGTGGTTGAGTCGACAAAAGCTCATGGTTGATAAATTCAATAAAAATTCTTGAGTTCAAACCCTCTGGCAGATAAGGCTCGATCACTTCCAACACTAAAAATTATGAACGAAGAAGAAGAAATGAATGAAAAACTTAATGCAATTTCAAAAGTTTTAACGGTATTTGACTACATGCGTAGTAAGGGGTGAACTGGCCCACCGGTCTACTGGGGAAAATACTGGCTCCCCCCCTCACCCCCCCCCCCCCCCCCGCCCAGGACTAGTGCTGTACTAGGCCTATCATTGCTTTGATTTTTTTTTTTTAATTAATTTTTCAAGTGAATTTCTATCAAGTTGAGGATGATCATCTGGCTTTAATTGGGGGGGGGGGGGGGGGGGGGGGGGGGTGGGATGAACAATGACAATTTCAATCTGGGGTTGGGGGTCCCCTTTTTTTTAATTTCCCGGACCTATGGGACACATCGTTTATTTCCAGTCCACCCCTGCGTAAAAGTTCAAACTAAATACCCATTTTTTTTCTTTTTCATTTCTTTATGGACATCACCAGTGTCTCCCATTAGGCAGGCCTCGACATGGCCAACTCCGACTGACTGGGATATTTGTTTGATTACCGTGTATCGGTCACTTCTGTCCTTCGGTTCTCACCAGACTTATCTTCCACCTCACTGAACGTAGGGTAAACTCGTACCCCATCGTCCAGTACCCGGCTCGACCGTAAGGGTATTTCGGACATGAAAAAATTGAACCATACCCACCACTGTCAACATCAGCAGATGTTGTGGAATGATAAAACTGAGATTCGACTAAAACGGTTCAAACGTTTGCATCACACAGGAAATACTCTAAAATTACAGGGTTATGTTATGACGTCAAGAGGTAAATATTCTAACACTACAGAGCTATGTTATGACGTCACATCAGAGTTTCTTCAAGGCATCTCTTCGGGGGGGGGGGGGGCAAAGTCCCCCCCCCCGAAAAAATTCTACCGCCCCCCCCTCCCCCCCCCCCCCCGAACGAAATGAAATTTATATAATTTATAAAGAAAATATATACTTTTAACAGTGTCCGACCTCCCGATGAAAGTCTACCGCCCCCCCCCCCCCCCCCGAAAATTTCAAATGCCCCCCCCCCCCCGGAGAAAAAAGTCTGGAAGAAACACTGCGTCACATGGTAAATATTCTAACAGTACAGAGCCATGTTATGACTTAAGATTGTTTACTTTGTTGCCATCACTTCCGGTTGTTTCCTCTCTAGACACTCTCCTCTTACCGATTACATAAATGACCATAAACCTAATCATTACATTAAATGTAACGCTAACCTAACTTAATTTTAGGACTGGGACTATAATAACGTGTAGGTTATGGATTTGTATTATGATTAAAGTTAAATCTAGTCGCGAGAACTCGAAAAAAAAACAATAGCGGAGCCCTTTAGGCGTTAGGTGTATCAACTCTGGTTTCCTTTCGGCAGCTCCTCCAACACTGCTGATTCCAATGTATACATGTAACGTCCTAACCCTTTGGTCCATCAGGTGTGTGGAGATAAGGTCCTGATACATAGACAACTTCTTGTTCTTCTCATCTTACTGCCCAGGCTTTGTGCTTGAATATCCTTTGCGCAATAATCCACTGGTCTATAGAGCCCAATTTATTAAATTATATCTTCTATCTATAGAGAATAAACTTTTTCTCTTTACAGCGCAGGCTACCTTGGTTGTAAGTAAGTAAAGTTCACTTTCAAACCTGACGGTCTATGGGGTAAGTGAAGTAGAGTTCACTTGTTTCTGTGACCTCGGCATATGAAGAGATAGTGTGGTCAGCACTATGCCCAGCCGCCTTTACTTTCCCTAACGTGAGTTAGGTACCCATCAGAGTTGGGTGGACTAAGGTCTACTGACTTGAACCAGGATTCGAACTCGAGGCTTACGGGTTAGCATTCCAGCTCTCTACTGCTAGACCACTCCGTACCTTGGCTGGCATTCTATAAAATGCCTAGGTTAAATAATAAAAACATACAATGTATTTCGTACTATACCGTCTCATTTCTGGCATTTTAAAGAATACCGTGTTTAGAAAGCCGTGTTTAGAATGCCGTGTTTAGAATGCCGTGTTTAGAATGCCGTGTTTAGAATGCCGTGTTTAGAATGCCGTGTTTAGAATACCGTGTTTAGAATGCCGTGTTTAGAATACTGTGTTTAGAATGCTGTGTTTAGAATGCTGTGTTTAGAATACTGTGTTTAGAATGCTGTGTTTAGAATGCTGTGTTTAGAATGCCTTGTTTAGAATGCCGTGTTTAGAATGCCGTGTTTAGAATACTGTGTTTAGAATACCATCTTTAGAAATCCATGTTTAAAATGCCTTGTTTGTCACTTTATCGGAAACATGTTTAAGGTAGTTTCAATTGTGGATAACTAACAGGAGTGGTGGGGGGGGGGGGTCATTGACGTAGAGTAATTTATCGTATGTTAATGGCAGGGTATATTGACCGGGGGGTAATTGACCAGGGGAGGAGGAGGGGGTGGGGGGGAGTAACGCCATAGCTCTTATCATGTACTCGTGTGATGTACCAGACAATTACCATAAACCAATTGATCCGCTGTTGCCTAATGGTATGCAGTTGAATGACGTTATGTTTTTAAATCTCTATAACCTTCCAAATGTTAAATTAATTTTAAATACTGACATTAAAATACATTTTTAAAATTTGAATAAATACAAAATTGTAAATTAATACAAAATAAAAACTTTTAAAATTTAAACTTTTTATTATTTTTTTTTATAATTAGAGATGCATTTCAAAGCACAGATATTTCTAAAACTCCAGATATTTCATTTTGTCTCATTTGAAGAGCGGTTCTCGAACCTCGAAAACTGAAAATTAAAAAAAAAGTGTATGAAAATGTGATTTAAAAGTACCTAAATGAGTTGTAATAAAAGCAATATAAATGTATCGAAATTAAAATTAAATACGATGTTAAAATGATAAAAACGCCTATAGATAAGGATTAAAATGCTATCAGTTTTCCGACTGAGATGGGAAAAAATAATTAAGTTAAAATGAATTTTTTTTTGTTTTTTTTTTTTTGTAAATTAATTTTGGTCTGAAAGCGTTGGCAGACAAATTTACAGGAAAGCAGACATACATTTACACGGATGTTTAAGTCACATAATCTGTAGTCTTATATTGTAGCAAAAGACAGAATATCATTAAATAGCCTTGATAAAAAGTAAAATTATAGTAAAATTAAAGTTCGCTTTTCGAACTCTACAGTCCATGGGACTACTGAAGTAGAATTCACCTGTTTCTGTGACCTCGGCTTATGAATGTATAGTGTGGTTGGCACTAAGCCTAGCCGCCTTTACTTTCTCTAACGTGAATCAAGTACCCTTCAAAGAAGTCCCCCACCATTATATCACTGATTAATTAATCTTAGCCACTACCCACCTTTCCACATAATATTTTTTATTAGCTTTAATATCTTAATCTCTTGATTAATCCTACCATTCACTACAGATGCAAAAGGGTTATTTGAAAATAATTACCTTTCATTCATCGACGTCATCATTTGTCTGTCTTTTTTTACGCTGTTCAGTTGGTGTTTGACCTTCGTCTTCATTTGTCTGTCTTTTTTTACGCTGTTCAGTTGGTGTTTGACCTTCGTCTTCATTTGTCTGTCTTTTTTTACGCTGTTCAGTTGATGGCTGACTTTCATCTTCATCATTTGTCTGTCTTTTTTTACGCTGTTCAGTTGATGGCTGACTTTCATCTTCATCATTTGTCTGTCTTTTTTTACGCTGTTCAGTTGATGGCTGACTTTCATCTTCATCATTTGTCTGTCTTTTTTTACGCTGTTCAGTTGATGGCTGACTTTCGTCTTCATCATTTGTCTGTCTTTTTTGACGCTCTTCAGTCAATGGCTGATCTTCTGGGATCTGTGGATCTTCAGCTACGTCACGCTGTGGAGGTAATGTTTGAGGGGTTTGTTACGTCATGATGTGGGGGTTATATAAGGGGTTAGTTATATCATGATGTAGGTGTAATATAAGGGGTCAGTTACATCATGAAGTGGGATTAATATAAGGGGTTAGTTACATCATGATGTAAGGTTAATATAAGGGTCAGTACCATCATGATGTTGTGGTAATATAAGGGGTTAGCTAAATATGTAAGTGGGGGTGACATGTGTGAAGTTAGCTTCATCACGATGTGGAAGGTTGCATGTATGGGGGCCTTTTTAAACTAAATACATATTAATATTTGTCATATAAAGATTTTAGTGTTAAGCTCAGGTCGCCACAATTAACAATATTAAATATTTTAAAGACAATATTTTTTATGTTAAAAATCTTCTAACCCATTAATTTTAAAATGAATATTAATATTTCTCATCTTTAGGAAGTTGCATATCAACTAACCCTACCCCACCCACCATCTAAAACTGAGCCCCACCCTCTCATCTCCGCACCCTCCTCTACCTAACCAATACAGTGGCCTCCTGTACATACCCCCTTGACACCCCTCCCCCCGTTAAATACGTTATAACTCACCTTTGATCTTTCTACAACATCGTCGACGTCATCTAAGAAAAAATGTGACACTGTTATTAGTCTTCTTCTTCTTCGTTCTTAATTTTAAGTGCTGGAAGGGATCGAACTCGAGACTTTGGTTTGGCAACCATGAGCTTTTACCTACTCGACGACCTCTTTCCAACACAATTAAGTATACGTGTCAACTGGTTATGCGCCGTTGAGGCCATAGACTCCGATTTCGGCCTGCTTTTCTTTTTGGATTTGCTTCCATAGCCTTTGTCCAACCAAGAACAAACTACAAGGCAGCAGTTGTTTGATTTTGGAGTTGTCTCTCCTAGAAGAGTGGCTGTCCCCAGCTAAAGAGCATCATCTGCCCGTGGGTTCGAACTCGAGACCTTTCGGTTTAGCAACCATGAGCTTTACCGACTCTACCACGCCGACCCACTGTTATTAGTCTTCCATTACTTTTAAAATATTTTCTACCTAAGATAAACATAGAGTAAACAAAAACAAAATATTGACTGGACTTCTAACCTGCAGTACACACGGTGCTGACCAGCAGAAGAACTAGTCCAATCAACAGGAATGACGTCATCTTGGCCATCTTGAAGAGTTTGTTGTGAGGTTGAAATACTCGAACGTCAAGAGCAAAAAAATCTTGCTGAAAATAAAATCGTAACAATCAAAATTAGAGAAACGAACTAGATCTAGTTAGGAATTGGATAAGTGACAGACAGAGGAGATAGAGTTAATCTGATTGTATGTCATTAACATGAGAATGTGTTTTGTACTTCTGGTTATTTCTTCTTCTTCTTTGTTCTTAATTCTAGTGTTGGAATGTATTCCCTCCAACACAATTAAGTATACGTGTCAACTGGTTATGCGCCATTACCGCCATTGACTCCGATTTCAGCCTGCTTTTCTGTTTGGATTTGCTTCCATAGCCTTTGTCCAACCAAGAACAAACTACAAAGCAGCAGTTGTTTTTGGAATTTCCTCTCCTAGAAGAGTGGCTGTCCTCAGCTAACGAGCCTCATCTGCCTGTGGGTTCGAACTCGAGACTTTTCGGTTAGGTCAATTTGACACCATCTTTTAAAGCCCCTGAGGAGGCAAAGGTTACACCTCTCCACCGGACTCTGTTTTGGGCAGTCCTCGCTAACACATTAGTTTAGCCCAGGTAAGCCCGCAACGTTTTTATAAAGGAGATCACAAGACAGGTTAAAAAAGTAAGAGGGTTGAGCACGGGCTAGCAACCCTGCCTCGCATAAAAAGCCCAAGCTACGGATAATACAAATACACCAACCCAATCGTTATGTAAAGCCGTCCTTATTATACTGAAATCAATAGAGGTACCCATTTTTAGATGAGTAGACGCGGGTATGTCATAGTGCTGGAGAGTTTCAGTATTTACTATTTAACTACACGGTCACACAAAAGTTGAGATCCAGGTATAGCATAGCGTGGCCGATACGTATAAAAGCAAAACGTAGCTCAATACTGCAGGAACTTAGCTCAATACTGCAGCAACAGCTCAATACTGCAGCAACTTAACTCAATACTGCAGCAGCTTAGCTCAATACTGCAGCAACTTAGCTCAATGATGCACCAACATAGCTCAATACTGCACCAACTTAGCTCAATACTGCAGCAACTTAGCTCAATACTTAGCTCAATACTGCACCAACTTAGCTCAATACTTAGCTCAATACTGCACCAACTTAGCTCAATACTTAGCTCAATACTGCAGCAACGTTATCGTCAAAACGAAAGTTCTATATTAAGGCTTGTAAGTCTCGATCTCTCTCGCTTTAAAGTTCGAAATCTCGTTAACCAAAGATAGATATGAATTTTCGAACTCTCTACCATTCGACCAATGCTGTTAACTCCAACATACTTTGCAGCAGGTTAACGAGTCATTTCTTTATAGAGTTGCGTCACAATGATAAAAATAAAAATCAGAACTTTTGTATTCAACTTTTAAACTGTGTGATAAATATCGGATATTAGAACACTGATTCCTCCCTCACTAAAATGACATCTTTCTATAACAACCTCTATCTCTCTTTCGCTTTCTCTCTCTCCCTCTGTCTCTTTTTCTCTCTCTCTTACTTTCTCTCTCTCTCTCTCTCTCTTTCCCTCTCTATATCTCACTCTATTTCTTTCTCTCTTTGCAAACATAAGACAAGTTTACATTACTTACCTACGAGATTGAAGAAAACAGCTTCAGTGAAAACCTACAACAGAAAATCTACTTTTATACTAAATAAATCAAATTATTAAGTTTGCAATTTGAGAAAAATCAATAGCAATAAGGCATAAACAAGGCGAATAACACCAAGTGACATTCAAATATCAATATAAATTTACCAGTTATTGCAATTTAGAAAACGAATATTAAAACTCAAATCCTGATTATGAGTGCAAGACGACTAAAAAGCTTTACAATCCTGAAATTAGTTTAATTACGTTTGTAATTAAAGTGCGAAAAGGCTTTGAAAAACTTTAATTTGAGACTTGTTATAAAGGCTATCTTGGGATATTTTTATATGCAAAATTTTAATACAGATGTTCGCAAAATTGGGTGACTAAAATTGATGGAAATTGTTAGGCAAATTAGTAAAGATAGTAAAGTACCCGTTCAAACGTTATGGTCCATGGGGCAGGTGAAGTAGAGTTCATCTGTTTCTGTGCTTTCAGAAAATAAACAAATAGTACTAATGACGGCATTGTTTCTCTGTGATGTACTCCTTGTATATGCATATATTAATTTTAACAGCTATTTGAAAATAATTTAGTATAAATTTTAACGGATTTTTTTTTATCCTATGGTATCTTCGTTGTTTTTTTTTTTCGTTTATTTGTGTGTGTAGTAAGAACGGGTAAATCAAAAGTTAAAATTCTTAACGCAGTCTTGCCATTGTAATAAGTAATTCAGAACGTGAATGGCGACTAGGAAATAGAACTAGGATTTCTTAATGTAGATCAAGGATCTAACTTCAAAACGAGATTGCTATTGGATTTCTGTATAAACACACATCATATTGCCCATGTCCTTCCATATTAGACTGTCCATGTCCTACCACAGTAGACTTGTCATGTCCTACCACAGTAGACTGTCCATGTCCTACCACAGTAGACTGTCCATGTCCTACCACAGTAGACTGTCCATGTCATACCACAGTAGACTGTCCATGTCCTACCATAGTAGACTGTCCATGTCCTACCACAGTAGACTGTCCATGTCATACCACAGTAGACTGTCCATGTCCTACCACAGTAGACTGTCCATGTCCTACCACAGTAGACTGTCCATGTCCTACCACAGTAGACTGTCCATGTCCTACCACAGTAGACTGTCCATGTCCTACCACAGTAGACTGTCCATGTCCTACCACAGTAGACTGTCCATGTCCTACCAGAGTAGACTGTCCATGTCCTACCACAGTAGACTGTCCTACCAAAGTAGACTGTCCATGTCGTACCACAGTAGACTGTCCTACCAAAGTAGACTGTCCATGTCCTACCACAGTAGACTGTCCATGTCCTACCACAATAGACTGTCCATGTCCTACCACAGTAGACTGTCCATGTCCTATAGACTGTCCATGTCCTACCACAGTAGACTGTCCTACCACAGTAGATTGTCCATGTCCTACCACATAGATTGTCCATGTCCTACCACAGTAGACTGTCCATGTCCTATAGACTGTCCATGTCCTACCACAGTAGACTGTCCATGTCCTATAGACTGTCCATGTCCTACCACAGTAGACTGTCCATGTCCTATAGACTGTCCATGTCCTACCACAGTAGACTGTCCATGTCCTATAGACTGTCCATGTCCTACCACAGTAGACTGTCCTACCACAGTAGATTGTCCATGTCCTACCACAGTAGACTGTCCATGTCCTACCACAGTAGACTGTCCATGTCCTACCACAGTAGACTGTCTATGTCCTACTACAGTAGACTGTCCTACCACAGTAGACTGTCCATGTCCTACCACAGTAGACTGTCCATGTCCTATAGACTGTCCATGTCCTACCACAGTAGATTGTCCATGTCCTACCACAGTAGACTGTCCATGTCCTATAGACTGTCCATGTCCTACCACAGTAGACTGTCCATGTCCTACCAGATTGTCCATGTCCTACCACAGTAGACTGTCTATGTCCTACCACAGTAGACTGTCCTACCCCAGTAGACTATGTCCTCCCACAGTAGAATGTCCATGTCCTACCACATTAGACTGTCCATGTCCTACCACAGTAGACTGTCCATGTCCTACTACAGTAGACTGTCCATGTCCTACCACAGCAGACTGTCCATGTCCTACCACAGTAGACTGTCCTACCCCAGTAGACTATGTCCTACCACAGTAGACTGTCCATGTCCTACTACAGTAGACTGTCTATGTCCTACCACTGTAGACTGTCCATGTCCTACCACAGTAGACTGTCCATGTCCTACTACAGTAGACTGTCTATGTCCTACCACAGTAGACTGTCCATGTCCTACCACAGTAGACTGCCCATGTCCTACCACAGTAGACTGTCCATGTCCTACCACAGTAGACTGTCCATGTCCTATAGACTGTCCATGTCCTACCACAGTAGACTGTCCATATCCTACCACAGTAGACTGTCCATGTCCTACCAGACTGTCCATGTCCTCCCAGACTGTCCATGTCCTACTACAGTAGACTGTCCATGTCCTACCACAGTAGACTGTCCATGTCCTACTACAGTAGACTGTCCATGTCCTACCACAGTAGACTGTCCATGTCCTATAGACTGTCCATGTCCTACCACAGTAGACTGTCCATGTCCTACCACAGTAGACTGTCCATGTCCTACCACAGTAGACTGTCCATGTCCTACCACAGTAGACTGTCCATGTCCTACCTCAGTAGACTGTCCATGTCCTATCACATTAGACTGTCCATGTCCTACCACAGTAGACTGTCCATGTCCTACCACAGTAGACTGTCCATGTCCTATAGACTGTCCATGTCCTACCACAGTAGACTGTCCATATCCTACCACAGTAGACTGTCCATGTCCTACCAGACTGTCCATGTCCTCCCAGACTGTCCATGTCCTACTACAGTAGACTGTCCATGTCCTACCACAGTAGACTGTCCATGTCCTACTACAGTAGACTGTCCATGTCCTACCACAGTAGACTGTCCATGTCCTATAGACTGTCCATGTCCTACCACAGTAGACTGTCCATGTCCTACCACAGTAGACTGTCCATGTCCTACCACAGTAGACTGTCCATGTCCTACCACAGTAGACTGTCCATGTCCTACCTCAGTAGACTGTCCATGTCCTATCACATTAGACTGTCCATGTCCTACCACAGTAGACTGTCCATGTCCTACCACAGTAGACTGTCCATGTCCTACCACATTAGACTGTCCATGTCCTACCACAGTAGACTGTCCATGTCCTATAGACTGTCCATGTCCTACCACAGTAGACTGTCCTACCACAGTAGACTGTCCATGTCCTACCACAGTATACTGTCCATGTCCTACCACAGTAGACTGTCCTACCACAGTAGACTGTCCATGTCCTACCACAGTATACTGTCCATGTCCTACCACTGTAGATTGTTCATGTCCTGCCACTTATAAATATAAAGCTTGATCCCACTTAAAGTAACACCCCAACACTTACTGTTAAACACGAATATACACACATTTCGACGTTGTTGTTGTTGGTTTTTTTTCCATCCCGCCATTTTGAAACCCAAATCAAATCGCACCAAATAAATACCTAAATGTTAGTGCAATGGCGCGAAAATATTAGCAATAAAATGATCGGGAAATTGCTTTCTGTTTCTAAAAATAGATTTTCTCAGACATTAAGTTATACCAATCCAAGGGTATATTTTTAAAACGAATTTTAGATGTTTTATTTTAAGTTTTAAGTTTTAATTAATTGGGCTTCTACCAATTTTGTATAGTCTCGCGTTATAATATTTATGAGATTCTGCGAGAGTCTCCTAGTCAGCCATTGTTTAGGGTCAGATGTTATATCCGGTTCGCTAGTAGATTGTGGGTGTGTCAGCCAAAAAAATTTAAAAACCATTGAGTTCCTGGGACGTTCGCATAACACAATTATAATCTCTCATGAAGATTACCTTTTTCATCCCGGATAATAGACTGGGTCTAAAACTAAAAGCAAACTTATACAGTTTCAGTTTTAGAACTCTAAATATTCTCATGTTTAGCTTACGCCAATTTTAGTACCAGCTATTCTCCGACGGTCCACGCCCGTTGACTGGTCAAATACACGGTCTTGATGGGGCCAGTTTCATTTGTGTAATGACCGATGTCATCCTGCCGATTTCTGCGAGCAGAGATTGTTTCGTGTTTGACCCGTATCCACAGTTTATGGAAGGTAAACTAAGCCTATGTGTTGGTACAGTAACCAAGGTTGAAAGCTATTGGATTCGTACGTATAGCATGCAGGTTAGGGGCCTTCCCCTGTAAAAGCGAACGGAAAAAACACGCTCTGTTACTTTCTTACTCAACTTCGATTGCAGATGACGGAGTTCCTTGTACGTGGAATGGCCTCGAAGACGCAAAGGCTGCGTAGAAACATCCTGTTGCAGTCTTTTGAGTTGAGGCTGAAGTTTAATCTTGTCTTCTCTTCTTGGATGAAATTGTAGTGTTAGTTCGACTTGGTTTTTTGTAAATCTGTAAGTGGGTTTTTACTTATACGTGCAGCATACAGCTGCATACTACAAGACTTGTCTATTTCAGGGTTTACTTTCTCCGAGGGATTGATTCTATAGTTTTCTCGTGCGGTGTAAGGTTAGAATAAAGGTAGGTTTCTCTTCTCAAAAACTCTCCAGGTGTTGCAGCGGGAGATGTCAATTCTCAAACTCACCTATGTCTGGTCCCAAGTCCAGGAGGAGAAAGCAGAAGGGGAGAATTGATTGTAGTAATCAATTCAAGTAGGGTGTAATGGCGTCATAGTTACGGCGCGTAACTAGGTCGTCACTTCCGTTACTTGAATCAGGTTTCAGTAACTGCTTCGCCTGAGTGTAAATATAAGTTGTTGGTCAAAATATTTCCAGCTAAGTAAGGCGGCCACTCCCCCCCCCATCCCCACCCCCTCCAACATATATCAGTTATTTATTTTAGGAGTTATCAGGGAGAAAAAAACGAATTTCTGATTTTTCGTCATAATGAGTTTCTTGCACTTTTGTACTCCTTGTCCATGTCTTAATTCAGAAAGTAAGAACTCAAAAGAAAAAAAATTATAGTTTACGGAAAATAATCTATGACCCTATATGTTGAAAAAAAATTATATAAAAATATTTATAGCAACAAGCTTTTAACCGCACTGTATATAAGAAAATAAAACTAATTTGCTCTCTTTAATAAAAAGCTATTGTCGCTAAAATATGTAAAAAAGCGACCAAAGCTTTTATTAAAGAAAGCAAATTAGTTTTATTTTCTTATAGTAAGTATTTAAAAGCATGTTACTATAAAGATTTGTTTATGTTTGTTTTATTTTTAGTGATTCCCAATTTATGAAGACTACACGACTAAAAATATTTGCTTCAAAATACTATCAGTTGCTCGCGATACACTTATAGGTTTAAGTGCCCCCCCCCCTTTTTCGGAGAAACATGTCTGAAAGAAACACTACAGGCAGCTCTCAAATAAATTTGATGTTATAGTGTTAACATTTCTCAAACCGATCCATGCTTTTGAACTAAAGTTCTAGAATATAATTTCAAACTTTTTTCAGACGTCTTTCTACGTTCCTCTGTTTTTTCTATATTTGATGACACAATGCAATTCTCGCGCTTTTCTATATAAATATAACCATGGTTTTCATCAACACTATAAATTTTATTGAAGTGACCTTGCATGTTTGTTTTCACTGTAGTGACATGTTTACATTTCTTAATTGATGCAATGGTTTTAGTGAATAAGATTACGTGACATTTTTACCTCTATAATGATAACAGTAATCATCATTGCGATACATAAATATAGCCAATTAGGCAGTCGACGGGCCAAAATTTAAAACTAATATAGCCAATTAGAATTAGTTTTCTCTCTTTAAAACTACGCTGTAAAGTAAAAATCATCTTTAAACCTAGCGATACATTGGACAGTTGAAATAGTTCCTATGTTTCTTGACCTCGGCATATGAAGGGAAGGTGTGGTTCAGCACTACACAGTTCGTCCATCTAAACTCAGTTCATACACCCATATGTGCATTTAATTTAGGCTCTATTGTAAATGAAACTAAACACATATCACACCAAACTTTCAACAAAATTTAAATCAGCAACACAATGCATTATTTTTGTTATGAAGACTTTATTTTATTGACGAATAACATGAGCAGCTTTGTTAACATTAAATGAGTAAACCTCTTTGAATTTAGTTTTGTCGAACTTTCCTCGCATCGGTAGGGTCCTGAAAATGATAAACATAACGTAACTAAACATGTCAACTAAATATTCAATGCTATTCAAACCAGAGAGAGATAGAAAGATTGTGAGAAAGTAGAAATTGGGTTTGGTCTAGGATATCGTGAATTTTGAATCACATGCTTATACTGCAAATGTGAAGTTTGTAAATCCTATTAAATTAAATTAAATGTGTTTCAATTTAGTCGAATAAAAAATGACAAAAATAATTTTTCCCAACACTCGTGAAGCAATATTTTATAGGTTGTTTTATCAATATTAAAATAATTTTTACACGTTTTTTAAACACCCCTACCACAATTTATTTTGATTTATAAAAATTATATAGACAATGACCTTCATTAACAGATACTTCCCATTCAGTAAATAAACATTTTAACACTTTATTAAATTTGTATAGGTTATATAGTAAAATTGATTTATAAAATGAGAGGGGTTGAAATTATCTATAAGAACATAACATCTCATAACAATTGTGAACCTGAATATATGTTTAAAAATAACTAACCAAATAAACGAACCCAAACAATATAAAACGAAAGTTAACATTTACTTCCGCTAGATCAAACTCCGAACTAATTCTCATTTTCAAACCATAGGCTATAGGTCTAATCAAGAAATAAATACAATATTTATAAAAATGTTATAATGTAGAATTAACCACATCCTAAACGTATGAACGTCAAAATACATAATCGTAAATCTTAAACCTAACATGAACATAATCTTAGTAGTTCCATTCTGACCTTTACTCTTCCCGTTCATCTGTTTGTCTGTCTGTTTGTTGGCGCTCTACTGAGACTTGAAGTTCTTCCAAAGCATTTCGCTGTGGGTGTAACGTTTGTTATGTTATTGTTCTATATATAGGTCTGTTATTTAACATTGTTATGTTATTGTTCAATATGTAGGTCTTCTAAATTAATTCAAATGTGTTGTTAGTGTTCTATATATAGCTCGGTCATTGAATATTGTTATGTTACTCTTCGATATATAGGTCTGCTAAATTAATTCATGTGTTATGTTACTGTTCTAAATATAGGTCTGTTATTGAACATTGTTGTTATTGTCCTATATACAGGTCTGCTAAATTAGTTCATGTGTTACGTTACTGTTCTAAATATAGTGTTTTGTTATGTTACTGTTCTATATATAGGTCTCGTATTTAACATTGTTATGTTACTGTTCTTTATATAGGTCTGCTAAATTAATTCATATGTGTAATGTTACTGATCTAAATATAGGTCTTTTAATAAACATTGCTATGTTATTGTTCTTTATATAGGTCTGTTATTGAACAATGTTATGTTACTGTTCTAAATATATGTATGTTATTAAACATTGTTATGTTACTGTTCTTTTTATAAGTCTGCTTAATTAATTTATATGCGTTATGTTACTGTTCGAAATATAGATCTGTTATTAAACATTGTTATGTTATTGTTCTAAATATAGATCTGTTATTAAACATTTTTTATGTTTCTGTGATATATATATATATATATATATATATATATATATATATATATATAGGTCTGTAATTAAACATTGTTATGTTATTGTTCTATATATAGGGCTGTTATTGAACATTGTTATGTTACTGTTCTGTATATAGGTCTGCTGAATTAATTCATATGTTATTTTGCTGTTCTAAATATAGTTCTGTTATTAAACATTTTTATGTTACTGTTCTAAATATAGATCTGTTATTAAACATTTTTATGTTTTGTGTTCTATATATAGGTCTGTTATTAAACATTGTTATGTTGTTGTTGTATATATAGGTCTGTTATTTAACTTTTTTTTGTTTTTTTTTTTGGTCTGTTATTTAACATTTGCTGTTATTTTTCTCTATATATGTCTGCTAAATTAAATCACATTCGTTATTTTATTTTTAACTATAGCGGTTAAGTTATGTAACATATGTTATTATTGTTATGTGAATGTTCAATAAATCGGTCTGTTTTTTAACACTTTTAATGTTATTGTTACCTATAGCTTTCTGTTAAGATATTTAAAATATGTTATGTTTTTGTAAGCAAAGGCTGTCTCCTGTCATATATTACATTTACTTTTTTACCTATTGCAATCTCCTACGTAGTAAACATTCGTTGAGTTAACAATAGCAGTCACAAACAATTCTGAGCTAAGGCGTCTTAGCTTATCACGTGTTGTAACACATAACTACTAGACTCCAATCAGGGGCGGAACTACCGCCAGACCCCACAATGCGGGGCAGGGAGGGGGTGGCATGAGAAAGGGGGTGGGCAGGACTCTTAAGA